ACCCAGCCAGCCAGCCGATCTTCAGGTGAACTGAGCCTAGCCTGTGCTTTTTGGACAGTTACCTCTTCTGTGTAACCCAGGTTGGCCTGCTAAAAGCTGGCATTCACAGATTTTATTTCACCTTCCAGCCACCATCTGCTCCCCTATTCTGAAATGTGCAATGGAAGGGAAGGAGGAAGATAGCATCAGGTCTGACAGAAGAGTGGCCCCTGTGTGCCACCGCAGACACCTCCAGGTGGTTCTAGACCCGCTAGGGACAGCTTCCATAGTCAGGATGGCTGACTGCCGCCCTTAACATTTGAGACATCAGATGGAGCCTCCATACGACTAGCCTTCTTCCTGTCCACCGTCTGCCCTTCGTGCCTGGTTCCTGTGGGGGGAAAAAAATCTTTAACTAGATTCCTCTTTCCCTCACAACTAATTGGCTCTGGTTGTGTTTTGGGAAGGTGGGTGGCACACAGGGTCTCATTTATACCCAACTAACGTCAAACTCTAGCAGAGGATAACTTTAAACTCCTGATTCTCCTGCCCCTACTTGGAAGTGCTAGAATGTAAGTTTTTTGGTGTAGATGTGCTTTTTAAGATTAACGAGTGGAGTCTGTACTTCTTACCTATTTGAGTCAGTAAAGCGCCAAATAACTCAAGAATAAAAACAATATTACGACCTGACAGAGAAACTAGAGGGAGGGCCTTAATGCCCACTTGAGACATTTCCATTCACAGTCCATCAAAGCTGGAAAATATTTCATCCAACAACAATTTTAGAATTACAGCTAATTCCATTGGATTCAAACTGAACGAGAAGTTTTAGCAGAAATGTGAAGTTGTAGGTGAATTTTGAAAGGAAATTTTCTTTTTTGTGACAGTGTGATAAGTGTTGGGATAACACTTAAATGTGCTTTTGTATTATTGTTTTGATTTTTTTAAATGAGGTCTCAAATCACCAAGGCTGGCCCTACACTCCTGAGGTATCTAAGGCTGCCTTTGAACCCCAATTCTCCTGCCTCCACTTCCCAAATGCTAGGATTGAAGGACTGCACAGCCCTCCCAACATTGTATTGCTTATTTATAAAAGAATACAAGAGAGAAAGTTTGGTTTGAAGACAAGATTGAATTCTGAATTTGATTTTTGGCTGAGAATTATATACAATTGCAGCCAGGTCTCACCTACAGAATAAAGATGATAAACCTTGATGCCAAACAGATGGTTCAGAGGTTAATAGCACCTGCTGCTCTTACAGAGGACTAGAAGTGAGTGCCAGCACCTTCTTCAGGTGGCTCAAAAACCCTGTAACTTGGGGGCTGGAGAGATGGCTCAGAGGTTAAAGAGCACTGACTGCTCTTCCAGAGATCCTGATTTCAATTCCCAGCAACTACATGGTGGATCACAACCATCTGTAATGAGATCTGGTGCCCTCTTCTGGCCTGCAGGGACACATGCAGACAGAACACTATATACATAATAAATAATAATAAATCTTTAAAAACAAAGAAAGAAAGAAAGAAAGAAAGAAAGAAAGAAAGAAAGAAAGAAAGAAAGCCCTGTAACTCCAATTCTGCCTCTGGTCTCCTTGGACACTTCACTAATGCACATACATAAGATTTAAAATTAAATATAGATTACAAGTGGTGGTGCATGCTTTAAAATCCCAGCACTTGGGAGACAGAGTGCACACCTTTAATCTTAGCACTTGGGAGACAGAGGCAGGCAGATCTCTGTGAGTTCCAGGACAGCCTGGTCTACATATAGAGTTCCAGGACAAGCTCTAAAGCAACACAGAGAAAGCCTGTCTCAAAAAAATTAATAAATAAAAATAAATTTTAAAACATTACAAACCTCCAGAGACTCAATGAATAGATCTCATGTAGCCCAGGTTCACTTCAAAGTCCCTATATAGACAAGGATGACCTTGAGCTTCATATGCTCCTGCCTCCACTTCCCAAGTACTGGGATTCCAGCTGTACACCACCATGCCTGGTCTATGTAGTGGTGGGAATTGATATCCCAGGGCTTTGTGTACTCTAGGCAACCTATCTACCAACTGAACTGCATCCCCAGCCCAGTGGCTAATTTTATTTATGTCCAAATGTACTGTTAAGCACTTGAAAATACACACAGGTTTAGTTACAAAAACATAAATAAAATATTAACTTTTATATGAATTCCATATTGAAAAGATAACATTTGGGATATAGTGAATTTTGTGTCCTTCAAATTGACTTAGTGCCAGGCAGTGGTGGCACATGCCTTTAATCCCAGCACTCAAGAGGCAGAGGCAGGTGGATCTCTGTTAGTTCAAGGCCAGCCTGGCCTACAAAGCAAGTTCCAGGACAGGCTCTAAAGCTACAGAGAAACCCTGTCTCAAAAAAACAAAAAACAAAAAGCCCAAAAAACCAAACCAAACCAACAAATTGACTTAGCCAGTTTTTTTTTTTGTGTGTGTGTGTGTGTATGTGTGTGTGTGTATTTAAATTAGAAAAATGTAAATCACACATGTGTCTAATGTTTGTGATTTATATTATGTTCCAATAGCTGTTCTAGGTCTTCTGTCCATCCTGACCAGATTATTTAAAAGTCACTGAGTTGCCCATTTTTATGAAACATATACCAGTCTTATTAACTTAAAACAGTACATTGAATAAAAGATTTATAAGAATGCTGTCCATTGCACATAATCATTCTTTTGTGGTTTTGCTTTATTTTTATTGGTGCTACTGGGATTTGAACCTAGGGTTTTAGCTATGCTAGGCAAGTGCTATGCCACTAAGCTACATCCCTAGCTCGTGTTCATAATTTTTCAATGCTTTGTTTATTATTATAAAAAACTATGGGAAATCATAAGAGATTCTAACCATGTATTATGTGGGGTGGGGGTTGAGGCTGTGGAATCAAAGCAATTAGCCTCAGCTCACACAAATTATAGGCGCTTGTTTTAGATGTGAGTGGTTACAAAGCTAAGGCAGTAAAGATACTGCAGCACAAGGTGTTCATTTGCTTTTAAGTGGCTTTGTAAAGGTCTAATGCCCTCTGCCCTCAGCTTGCAACATCCCAACAGCTATCCCCCGTGATGCTCACAAGATGGGTAATGCTCTAGAAAGAATCTGCAAGCTACAGCTGTTGTCTTCCCTCCTCTGTCCCTGTGACCCCAGGGAGGCCTTCACTGCAGAAGAAGCAGGATGAGGGTGGGGAAAGGAACAATGGAAAATACCTCCTCACATGCCAAATTCACTCACAAGGAGGGAACAGAGAACTCCTGGCCCAAGGTCCTTCCTTAGAGGATTACATTGATCTAGTCCATGGGACACTGCCACATCGGTTGTTAGGCAGAGCTGTTTCCAGTGTTGACCTCAGTACTGGACATTGCAATATCTTTGAAAGTGCCAAGAGATGGTAAGGACATGACAAGGAGCTATGGTAAATGCTAAATTAGGGAGCAAGCAAGTTCCATGGCAAAGACGGCTTTCAGCACAGACTAATGAAAGGTGTCTGGGGGTGCAAAACTGTGAACTGAGGAAGCAGAGCTGGACATGGGGCCTAGCAGTTCTCGTTAGGATCTCACTGTGAAGATTTCTGGGATAAGTATGATCCCAACTCTGTACTTTAGAAAAGTCTGGCAGGTTCCATAGGGTAGGATAAGTGGGAGGGAGGAGCTTGGAGCAGGGAGACACTTAGATAAGAATCTCTATTATAAACAGAAAACAAGGGCAGTGAACTTTTCAACTACCCAGATACTGCACACTGAGGCCCCGGCTCCTGACCTTTTCATTTGTTTTTTTCTGTTTGGTTTGGCTGAAACAGCTGCCAGGGAGCAATTCTGGACAAGCCAACTATTGTTCCTGGAGATCCAAGGCCTGAAGGAAATGGTAAAGGTGGACCTACACAGAGGATATGAGGAGAACACCCTTCTGCCCTTCCTCTAGAATCTGTCTAGGCAGTGGTTCTCAACCTTCCTAATGCTTCGTGTGACCCCTTAATACAGTTCCTCATGTTGTGTTGACCTCCCAACTATAAAATTATCTTGCTGCTACTTCATAACTGTAATTTTGCTACCATTATGAATCATAATGTAAATATCTGTATTTTCCTATGGTCTTAGCTTGAGAACAGCTGTGTTTTGGCAAGCTTTGGCCTACCACTGCCTGTTCTGGCCCCCACAGTGGCTTTCAGCTCTCCAGACACAGGATCAGAGGTGTTACCAGCTACTCTTTTATCTTTATTTCTGAGACAGGGTCTCATATATCCCAGACTGGCCTTCAACTTGCTGTGCAGTTGAGGATCTTTCACTCCGCATCCTCCTGTTTCCCTGAGTGCTGGGATTACAAGTGGGATTGCCACTGCACCTTGTTCCTGTGGTACTACACACCAAGGGCTTCATGCATTCAAGACAAGCACTCTACCAATGGAGCTACACCCACAGCGTTAGACTGCCTCTTGTGAACTTTCCCAGAAAATATAAAGGGAAGTCACTAGGGTTGTTGCTGAGCCCGTGTGTGATTTTGTTGTTGTTGTTGTTATTGTGTGTTTGTTCTTAAGACCTACTCACCTATATTCCTAGCCAGGATACTAGGGAAAGAAAAGCAGGAGAGGCAGGCTGCAGTCCACATCTGCCCTGACTCTAGG